GAACAAGCATCTTCCTCTCCACTGTTTGACAAGGGTTTAAGAACAAAGATGTACATATAGAGTATGGGGAAGACTATATAGACTATGGGGAAGGCAATCAGCAACTGAGCTGAAAGGTACATGTACATGTAGAAAGAGTTTTTGGACTGGTCTCCTAAGTTTGGTAAAATTGAAAGGGAGGGCCCAAAACCATCTTTCTATGACAGCGCTTCTCAAATGGACAGAATTTGAAGCTGGCTTTATGTTGGCACACTTTAATACTGATGTTTGCACATTATGACTAAAGGGCACTCATGAAAAAAAGAGCTACCGGGGTACCTGCTGCAAAATATTGGGGTGAGGGCACAAACACTCATACCCCCTTACACTCCCCAAGTGAAGGGCATTCATCTGATTACAGTAACTCTTGTAGGTCAAGATGCTGAGAGACAAATCTGTTTCCTTACCAATTGCCAGACTATCAAGCCTGACCACCAGTTCCTCATTGCTGACAGGTTCTCCAACATCTAAGATGTCCGGTAGGGCATTCCTCCTTCCAGTCCTCCCAGTGGATGTAAAGTCTGTTAAGTTTGTTGCTACCTCTGCCATCCTGCCTGCCGTTTCTACTTTGTAGGAAAGACAGAGAAGGAGAGATGGAAGCCATTTGTGTATTTCGTGTGATTGTTTCAGCGCCAGTGTTGTAGTCAAGACCTTTATGTCCGAGACCAAGGCATTCTAGACCAGGACCGAGACCAGCTCTTTCAAGACCGAGACCAGAACTTCGAGACCGAGACTTTTGCAGTTCGAGACCGAGACCAATATGACCGAGACCGAGACCTTGCACAACATATACAATATATACATGTAGGCCTACATGTAGTTCATTGATGGTAAACGTGGTGGACAATTGGCATTAAACAGCAAAATTAAGTGCAAATTTTACATGTAAAGCACAAAACATATTTAATATTCCATGAAAGAGTTTTATTTGAACTCTGGGGAAAAACAGCACACAGTTATTTTGACCATGAAGGCACGGACTGCCGATGCTATAGAATTTTGTATAGAGTATACGGCATAATCGTACATTAAACATGTACATGTACAGAGTTTTTGTATTCCACATGTATAGCAAAATGAACGTGGGCGGGCCATGTCCAAATGTTTAAAAAGGCAAAACGTGGGGTCTGAGTTGCTCGGACTATGCCAAAAGGTGTGCATGAGTTCAGTTTATGAGTTATACTCTGTAATGATCAATGGACAGGTTAGTAGGGTCACACAACATCATGGGCAGTTCCCTATTAAAAGTACATGTACATGTACATGTATGCATACACACAACTGTGAAATGACAGAGGCAGTGCACGCGGGGTACCAGTGCTCCGGGCTGAGAATATGCATTAGTCTCCATTCCAGCTGTGATTTCATTCTTTATCGTGAATACCATGTCGTACATGTTCCAAGCATACATGCGGAATTGCGTGCAGTTCGGAACTAGACTCATTCGGAGGAAAACTTGCACTGCAAGCAGCACTGCTATATATACATAATTGTGCTGTATGTACCGTACGATCCGGGTACGGGATTTTGCCGCGGCCGAGCGTGAATTGTTGACGCACATTTTCTGCATTTGTGTCATGGTCTCGGCAGGTCTCGGGTGGGAGACCCGAGACCTCGGCATCCGAGACCAAGACCGAGGCCAGCCCTCCCGAGACCGAGACCAACCCTCCCGAGACCAAGACTCTTGTAGGCCGAGACCAAGACCGAGACCTCAAAAAAAGGTCTCAAGACCGAGACCAGGTCTCGAGACCTCCAACACTGTTCAGTGCTAGAAGGATGGATCTGTGTCAAACTTACAAGTGTTCCACCCATGCAAGAAAATTGCAGGTTTTGCATAATTTGTCTTTTCACTGGCTTTGTATTAATTTTTCCATTAGTGGACTTTAATCCTTGCTTGATGCATGTCAACTCATGTTTCCTTAATCCATTAAGTTATCCCACAAGGTGAATGGTAGAACACGGCCTACCGGAGATGGATAATTTAAGAGCAGATTTGTTTCAGATGATCAAGTTAACAATGGCCAACCAGAATATGTTGGACATTTTACTCTGTGAGCAAACAACTTTCTCATGTCCTGAAATTATCGTGTCATTCTTTCCATCATTCTTTTTTTGCATTACATTTTTGTAACATTCATATACTCTGGCACACAAGCAGAAGTTTGAACTTGGAATTTGCCCCAGGGGTAAAATCTAAGTACATGCACTTGCACTTATCAGTCACAGAGATTATTTAGAAAAATATGCCTCCAGCACTAAATGACAAGTCGACTGTGAGTCAGCCTCGTTGACAACTCTGGATTTTCCACTATGGAGCACTCGTACAGGGATCCGAATGCAGCACTACATCCGTCCTTCATAAGCACTCAAGATTGGCAACACATTACAGTGCTGATGGAAACGACAACCCTCGCCAAACCAGGAACATGATACCTGCACCTCTGCAACTGCAAACCGAGTCGGCTGACTTGTTGCCAAAAATAGAAGATGGGGTGCTAGTCTTCAACACCCATCCCATGCTTTCATGCTGATCATCACAAAACGTTGCCACTTGCCTTCAAAAATAGAACCCAGTGACATTTCTCACAGGTGTGCGTGTTGTTGACCTCTCTGCTTCTGTTGTCCCCAGGCTGCCTGACAAGCTGAAAATACCTTTTTCCTGCTTCTATTCCTGGCACATCTTGAATCCAATTTAGATAGTGTAACTGATGTAGCACATGAATGTACAATGTACCTGCTCCAAGCTTGAAAACTTTAGAGTGTTTAAACACTAACGAAATACACAATGTATTGTATGTTTCATTTTTGTAGCTTGTAGCGTAGCAGCTTACATGTATTTTTTGTGTTTCATAAGTTTAATTAATAAGTAAATTAGATCAGTACCAATTAAGTTTGGAAACACCTGTTCTGTGTCCATTTTATACATTACTGTAAACCATGAGCGGGTGATTTGGGTTTTTTTTTTATGAAGCTGCTACAGGTCATTTCAAGTGTGACGCCTGAAAGGTCACTGCATGCATAGTATCAAGAAATCTGTCATGTCAGTAATACTTTCCACACTTTCAAATTTTCCCCTGCCATTTACCCTCAAAAAGTGAGATGATAAATCCCTGAGGTTTATCAGAGGGAAATAACATTTAGATTGCATACATGCATGTTGGTCAGCCATGTTAGTGGCATTCCCTTGTGTTGTACATTTCATGTTCAATACTAACTGAGAATGTGAGATGTGATTGACATTTACTCAGGAGATTAAGATCTCATAGTATGAGTTTCTTCCACAAGGATGAACAAGGGACCACATGTATATACATGTAAATTAGGCTTTAAGAAGCACACGGTTGTTCTGTGCAAAAAGCAGAATCATTTACATGTAGACTTCAACCTTTTTTCTGCCACAGCTTGAAATTACTTTCTCTGTAAAGATGTACCTGTGTAAATTTTTAAAAAATTCTCTCTGGATCGATTGCATAATTTTTTTTCATGTCTTTGTAAATGCAATTTTCTTTTTCGAGTCAAAGTCAAATCAAGAAACAGGAGACCCATCTTTGCAGTGTAAATTCCATCAAGCAAACACACAAGACATTCCTAATTATTTTCTGAAAAAAATGAATCCTGAAGAAAAAGAGCGGGCTTAACTCTCTGAAGAAAAATTCTGCTCACTTGGTGAGTAAATGAGATTTTGGCAAGTAATCAAAAATTAATCGTTCCCCAAAGTATTAGACTGCAAATTTCTATTTCTAGCCGATGTTGCTCTTGATATGTGAATCAAAGCGTAAATTATTCTGCTCTCATCAGTATTCTGTCCAATTTCACCTGACAGTATCAATCACGTTTCAGCAAACAGTGTGTCCTGGGCACAAATCCGTGGGACGCAATAATCTAAATAAACTGGCAAATTGACGAGACCCAGATTTTAAAGAAGGCAGCTCTGGTTTTTGTTTTTTTTAATCGCTCTCTGAAACTCTCAAATTCATCAGCTTCGTAGATGTCTGTGACTGAAAATTACTACGTCTACATGTACTCGTACATGTAGATCCAACCACTTAAGGATATACAGGTGCACGTACAGGTGCACGTATGTATGCAGTTTAGATGATTTTTCCTTTCCATTGGGCTTGGTAACCCAGTTTCCAGTAGGCCTACAAAGAATTGCCTCGGTTATAGCAAAATTTCTTTGCAAGAAAATCTTGTCCATTAGTCTTAACACCAGTTCAAATCAAGTCTGAATTGTACAGACAATGACAACTCCTGCATGAGCTTGCAGTATTTTCCTCACGATCCAATATGCTCTCTCTAACTCTTGAGTGAAGCTTTTTAGCTTTGACTTTTCGTCTAACACTCCTGACCACTCTGAACAACCCTTGATCAAAGTTCACCATGCACCTGGACAGTCTGCGGACATCAAGAAATCTATAGAGCATTTTTCTGTTGTTACATTAGTGGTTGTTATAAATTGCAAGTGGAACCCATTTGTTTCCTGATATTAGATGAAGTACGTGCATTAGTCATCTGTTACCACATTTATGTAACCATCTCAGGGACAGTTTGGGCAAATTGAAAAAAATGTGCTTTTTCTCACAATGATGAAATTGATGAGTGCATTAACATGTACTTGTGTATGGTATCTTGCAAATATTTCTCAGATACATTCTGAAAAACATGAAAAGTGCAAGTTTATTTGAAGGGAAGCAGTCCAATAATAATAATAATTTATTCATTTACAAATTTCATACAGATATGTTCAAACGCACTGTACAATGAAGGTTTGGGTTTATGCTCCCAATCACTCAAGATTATTTCTACATATTTTAAGAAATCATTTCTATTTTCAAAGGAATTTTACATGACATTTCATTGCACCGGTTTCCTGCTAATTAAAGCATTTTGGAGGATTCAGAAATTAGTTCTCAGCAAAAATACTAATCAGGTAGCGTTACCCTACGTTGTGCCATTTATAGGGTGATTACTACCGGTATCAGTGGAAGTCAAGGAGAGAAAAGATGGCAAGACTCCATCTGAGATTTGCTCTTGGCTAGACCAGAACTTGCCACTGGTAAGGAAAACATAACACAGATTTCAACCCTTTGCACCAAGCTGAGCCAGTCCTGAGCCCCCAAAAGCCATCTGGGTCATTCTATAAATTTGGGGTCCAAAGTGTGACATTTTTCTGCCCCTGTAACCTCCGACAAGTATATCATCTAACATGTTTGACAAGGGATGTCTCACTGAAATTGATATCAAACTATTTTTATTTGTTTGGCAGGTAATTTCCAGTACTTATTCAGTCTTGGAAATTAAACAATGAGTTCTAAACATTACAAATCAAATGCCAGATGTAACAGGGACGGGAAAAAAATGGACCCCAAACTTAAAGAATGACCCATGTGCCTGATACCTGTTAGAACTTGCTCATTTATAAATTACAAGTAGCCAGTTGATTGTCAGCTCAGTGTCAACCGTCCTTTGAGACTGCTTCACCTTCTAGCCCTCTGGGTGTCAATTACAGGTACTAGATCTTCAGTGCTTGCATGAAAAAGGAACAGAACTCAGTGATATTCAAGTCAGGTTTTTTTTAACCTTTGGTATTAATTAAGTATCTACCGCCCAGAGCTCCAGAGGTTGTGCTTGATCTTGCTGACAGCTCTAAAAACTGATGTTCTGATAAAAACCCAGAGGATAAAACCCTAAAGAAAAAATCTGTGTAATACATGTACATGTAGCTCAAGCTAGATCTACAATGTATGCATGTTAAGTCTTGAACTCATTTGAAATGTTATGGAAAGCCTGAAGGCAGAAGAGCACAGCGCAACTAATCATGGGAGATTGATCTCGATTGATGCAAATTCTGGGATGACAGTCTGTCCACCTGGGGAGAGCAGACCAAGATGGAATCAGAGGGCTTATAAATGATAATTACATGTGGAGTTTGTCCGTGTCTTTCTGTTTGTTAAGGTGTTTGTCATACAGTAAAGCTTTGGCATACATGTGCATCTTTGCATGCACAGCTTAAGTTATGGAAGAAATTTGAAGTACATGTACTGTAATCCTGGCACACATGTAGAGTAATTATCACTGATAGAGGTGAAGCTTGGTGCATCAAATCTATGACAGTATTAAGTAAACTGGACAATGTACTTGTACATGTATGTTCCTGTACATGTACATACACCTGTACAGGTACATGTACATGTACATGTACTTGTATTTCAGACTTCTTCCCTTCAAAATTGGATTGTGTTACAATACAAGACTATAGATAATCCACTTGTACTATCGATTGATTATTAATTTCCCAGAAATTTCAGAGGCACACGTATCTACATGTACATGTAATTGCACTGGTATACCAATGTTTCTTCCAAATCAGTTGGTTAAGCTGCAGTGTTGAGCCACCTTGGAAAGTAAGTGACAGTATAAAATACAAGTCAATACTGGGCTAATTTGCAGTTCTCTGCAATTTCAGGTTAATTTATTGTGGTCAAGATGTACATGTACTCGGTGTGGTACATGTACGCACAATACAATTAACCCAGTTGTAGACTTTTTAATTAATTCATCAGCCAACACAAATGCTCATATGCATGTATACTTCATCATGAAGTATTCATGGCTAGCCACTGTATTGAGGAAATGATCCCATTAGCTTTATTAAGATCAGACTTTAAAGTCACAAAAATTATATGTACATGTACAGTATACATGTACATGTATATTCATTTGTTTTGTCTCCATTTCAACTGAAACTTTCCTTCAGTTTGAGAATTTTCTCAAGTGCTGCTCGAATAATGAGCAAAACAACCAAAGTAGCTTTCTTATTTGTTACCTAACTTTCTTTAGCTTTTTCTTTAGTTTTTAAGCATACACTGTTTTTCAAATTTTGCGAGGCATGTACTAATACCAGTCTTGAAGTTCAGCACTTGCATATTGGGGTCAGGAATATATTTTAAAGATAAAAACTCAGATTAATTTTTCTTGCCCAAACAATGTGAGAAAGTTTTTTCGAAAGTAGAGGTACGAGTATATAGCTAGGGAGAGGCGAGAAAATTCAGGTTCCATGTACATGTACCTATAATTATCACCTCCACCCATCCCCCCCCAAAAAAAATATTCAAAAGTTACCTTTTCCAAATCCCCAACTTTAAATGCCATTCTGAAATTTGCCTCAACTGAATTTTTTTATTCATTTTCTTCCTACGTGTACATGTTGGCCTGCCAAAGAAGTGCCAAAAAGTATTCATTTGACAACATTTCACAGATGTTATCGTGCATCCAAGTAAGACTCAAAGTCCAACATCCATTAACGAGATCAGACATTCAAAGGTCCAAGGGTAGAGCTTAAGCTGTTGCCAAATCTGACAGTCGATTTCTTTGAAATTAGATTTACATGTACCTTTGAAAAATATTAATAGAGAAAGGATGCACCAAGCTGACAAATTTCTGACAAAATCTGAATTCATGAATTTATTGCACATGTACACGTACATGTACATGTACCTCCAAGAAAAATGCGGAGTTTGATATTCACAAAAGAATTTGTGAAAAATGAATTTCAAAACACCACTCTGAATGTTTCCAACCACTTTTTATATCTTGATTTTTATAAAGATTCGATTGAATAAGAAAGTCTGTTTCCACGATTTTTTTTTTCACAATTTAAGGGAAACTTTCTCCACAAATCACATTCTAAACAATGTTTATCTTTAACAAAATTCATATTGCATTTGGATAATTTTGGTGACATGTATTACACCAGCCTCAATTCCTCCTTTTCATTTGCACATGCTTTAAAAGCCTCCTTCATAGTGCAATACACCCTTAGTGTGGGGCACAAATATTAATTTCAGAATTTTAATAGTAAGGTGCTGAAGCGTACCACTCATATGGTGCCAACTCATTATATTATGTTCAGGTAGAAATACACTGTAAGTGCCTCAGTGGGGAATTATGTGGTTGGTATCACTTGTTAATGGGATGTTTTTGCATGTTTACATGTAGGTACCGGTACTGTCTACATGTATGTTGTGCACATCCAGGGAGCTCATAAATGTATTCTGTACTTCAACTCTTATCCCCTTGAAGCATAGGGCAATAGGACATACATTTACAACAGGTGTTTTGGTTTTGAAAATCTTCATTCCATCCAAAATTCCAAAGAATTTACAAGAAGTTAGAATTGTGGGATGACTAAAATATTTATTTGTTTTGATACGTGTACATGTACACTGTAGTTGAGTAGGTCTCATTCATCAAATTGCAGTAGGTGTAATTAAAAAACCTATTTGTGTCTCAAATCAATTAAAAAATTTCAAACATATTTAAATCATACAAATTCTCAACCTCTGTCGCTTTCTGACAGCCCACATGGGACATGTGTGCAAAACGTTTTTCAGATGAGTACAAGGGCACCCTTGTTATCTTTCTAAAAAGCAGCTGTGAATTTCAAGTTATTGTACAGCAGCTATCCTCATTGTCTCGCACACAAATTTCAGTTGGGTATATCACATGTATTCAAGGATGTCTTTAAGATATACATGTACCCCCCCCTACATGTACAGTACATGTAAATTCCCTGGTATGACAGTGATCTTAAACACTACCAGCATGCGGCCTTGACTTAATCGCAGCAGCCCACAAATTGATCACAAGAAGATTCTGACTATAAATTCAAATTAGCAGATGCTTCTTAAAAGTGTAGTCTGTGTTGACACCATCCAGCAGCATGGGTTTTTCTTCCTCCATGATGTAACGATCATGGTGAAACTCCTTCCCAGTACCTACATGTACTGTACGATACGATAGAGGTATCACTTTTTTGGGGGGAGGAGGTTGGGGGCTCAAAAATGCAAAGAATACTCATATAGCAACTTGTTTGGATATACATGCAGTTTTTGTTCATTACAGGACCATTTCCATCCATGAGGAGTCGGTCAGATTTCCTCTATTGTCATGCCTGCCCATAATATCAGTAGACTATTTACAGGACTCCCTGGCAACCATTTTACTTAGCCCTTTGTGCAGCTGTACATGTACCGTCTTATGTATTAACCAGCTTTTAATTTAATAGCTTTTAAGTAGCAGGGGTGAGATTTCTCAGCTTTTCAGCTAATTTCAGCTTTTTTCCCTCACTGGCTATGTATGAAAGTGTTGGAGATTTTCACAGTTCAGCCTCTTTATGTCTTTTTCAGCTGTTTTCAGTTATTTTTAACATTGGCTAATCTCATCCCTGCATTAGACAAGTTATTCATGCATACAGCTACCATTAATCACGTTAAGACATGCACAATTTGGTATTATTCTGTTTCTGTAATTATTCTAATGTGGGTGCCCCACTCTCAGCTGTAATTAGCGTGCCAGGCAGACCTATACATGTACATTAAGCCTAAAATCAATACTTTCTTAGATCTGCCTACTTAATCGCTGCCGCTCAGGACAATATTGCATCTCATCACCATACGGCAAATCAAATTGTCCAATTGAATCATTAACTACAATGACCCCAAAGGAGAATGCCTTAATGAATCTCCCTCTAAGGGTGTCCATGTAATATCTTGGCATTCCTCAGGGATAGTTCATGATAGTGCCTGATTGTGTGTGCTATCAAGACAAGATTGCATACTGTACATGTATACATGTACATGTACATTAATGAACTGGTAGGATGTGTGCAGGGTCCAATTACAGACCTTTTATGGATCACTGAAAGTTTTTCAGTGATTGACTGAACAGCAGCTTCAACAGCTGAAAAATTCAACAGAGCACCCATAGTCTTCCTGTTTTCTTTTCTTCTTGCAGGGGATGTTTTAGTAAATCATACTTTCTTTCAAACAGAGTTTATATTCTCCTTATGACTCATGGCCCATCCATTGTTGAGGACTAAACATTGTTCTGTTTTGTACAGTGTTGAATTGGCAAGATTAAGGTTTATTTTTGTTAGTTCATAGTGGAATAGGAACCCAATACATACATGGTATGTTTGGCGTGCCAGTACATGCTGACACAAAGATAATATAATCATGAAATAAATAGCCTATTGCAAAAATAGACTGCCTCACATCAAATCCACAATATTACAAGGAGAAAAATTGGAAGTGCAGCGACTGCTATCTTCATCACGTTTCACTGACATTGGGTATTTCAACACTCTTACCAGCAATGAATGAAAAGTCTCTTACAACATGGGGTCATATTCAGTCAACCCTAACCACAGACTCGCCTTAATGGACAAAAGACAACCTTTTACTGATTGTCTGCATTCAGGAGATCATTACATTTACTACCGGTATATTACCTACAAGTAGGTATGTATTTATAGACTAATTTTATTGCATGCACCTGCAGAGGCAAATGTACGAGGAGTAATAGTCTGCTCATGAATTCTGTAGATGAAGAAAATGAGGTATCAATCATTTTCCTAAAGCTTCAGAAAGAGTCCTCTTGATGTTCAGCTACTACTGCCTAAGATGTGGGAATGCTGATTATTAAAATTTGTCACGGCATCCCCTTAAGCAACGCAGGGCTGCCAGAGGGAATATCCTGAATCAGACCACTATAGGGATACTGTTGGTCAATAAAAGTGGGCATGAAGGAAGGATGGAAGATTCGGATTTCATTTGTCAAGGTTTTCATTTGATACCTTTTCAGGAAATTTGACAGTCAAATTGAGAGTTCATGGGTCCATTCTTGGCATACATCTAGCAATGCAGCTTCACATACAGCAGGTGAAAGTACTGGAAATGGAAAGCTAGTATGGTGTAATGTGTACACCTTGCATGCAGCTAATTACTGACACCGGGTACATGTACAGGTAATTTATTTCAGTGCTTTTGGTATATGTAGAAATGAGAGAATACTGTACATGTACGTTAAACTTTATTCAGGTATCATCTCATCATATGGTTGAGTGCCATCAAAAATTTTCATGATTCTCATAAAATGAACGGGAAAAAAAGTTTGAATAAAGTGCATGAAAATCTCCATATACCGGTGGAACATAAGTACCAAGATTCTTGCGTCATTAAAATTGTGACTTATACACTTTGTTACCACGGCAACAAATAGCGTTTTATGCACATGTAGATCAATAACGTGATCTTGTGGTGTCTTGATGGCATATCGTTCAGTATCTCAGATTTATCAAGCCTTTTCTAGATATTCACCATTGTGAATATTTCTGGCCATTTTGAACGTGGCCTGTTCATACATGCACATCTGCACTTAAGCTTCCAAAACGATGACTAAGGATCAGAATTTGTTGCTATTCCCGCAAGGTTTGTTCAGGCCCAGTAGCCCACACATAGAAACTCCAAAATCTCTTAAAAGCCGTATGAGCTTGATAAGATGTTTTTTGAATCGTGCTGACAATAGTAAAAGTCACTTCAATAATCCAACCACTTTCAGAGACTGAAGAATCAGGTTGTTGCTGCCTGCGGCACCTGAATCCAATGACCCAGGAAATACAGAACAACGGAGCAAGAGGATACAGGAAGTCCGACGTTCCGTGAGATGAAGAATCCCCCGTGGTCATTGTGGGATCTCTGTTCTTTGTATGAGGTACAGTTCAGGCGTTAGATTGAAAATTAGTAACGACTGTTTCAACTGTACTTGTTTAGAAAGAGGGTATTACTGGATGCAGATAACTTTGTATTTCATGGAGACTTTTGAATTTTGGGATGCAAGGCTTTAAAATAATGCCGGATGTGGCAGAGAAGATACTCAATACTTCCTTGAAATGAATGAGCATGCATATTTGTAAATTTTAATGAAGTACATGTTCATGTATATGGAAATGCTTGATAGTTTGGGGGTTTTGTTTCCTTTGTTTTGGTTTGCATTTCTGCAGAACAAGATTCAGATGTAAAATTCTTTAAGAATTCTTGTGGTAGATTTCAAGGATTGATGAGACTAATGATATTTTTGCCATAAACTTTGCCACACCCTCTTGAAACAAACAAAATAGCCTGTTTAGTCAGCTCAAACATTTGTCTAAAAATCTCATTGGGGGGAGTTGTAATTCAGAGATTGGGTTTGCAGGCTGAGTGAGCCACTAAAAATGTCCACATTTCAACACCCCTACGAAAGCTTTACCCTTACTGCTAACTACAAATACCAGTATGAACATTATGCTGTCAGGCCTGACTGTCACATGTACATGTAAGTAATCATGTCTTAGCAAAGACGTCTATTTTAAGAGGAAAACGATACAGAAATTGAGACAGCCTGCAAGTGCATATCGGTGTCTGTTACTGATGAATTTTCTCAGGCGTTTCAGGAAATGTAGTGGCTATTTCATGTGCAAATAAAGCAGGAGGAAGCCCTCTGTAAGTATAACTGAAAATAGGACAACCCCAAAATAGAACTGTGGTTGTAAGAGAAGTCAGGAGGTGTACAGTCTGCACCAGTCTGACTTAATCCCGTCTCCCCCACCACATCCCAAACTCCACATCCCCCCCCCGAGGTATTCTGTGATGGTTTCTCTCACCATACTGGTACATGTGAACCATGTCTACAATGTATGTCCAAGGTCAGGCACAGATACAGAGGGGGTCAACCCCCCCAACACACACACAATTGAAATAAACACGAAATAAAAATTTCAGTAGCAATAAAAAGATGACATCTTACAGTTACTTGTATAAGGTGAAGTGTATCACCAGTGTGTAATGCATTGCCTATGTGTCTGCCTATCTGCTACAAATGGACTTTAAAAATCTGATCCCACTTGAGCATGCTTGGGTTTTTTTCACAAGCCTTTGGGCCAAACACCGAGTACACAGTGTTATAATACACGTCGGGGGCAGGGTAATAATCCCAAGTTAAAATTGAGTTACAGTCACTCTAGCTTCACACGTACATGATACATAATATTACATGTAGCCATATGCTCTGTTCCTGTTTGCACATTTTTGTGTACTCTCAACAGAAGTCACCTTTATCTTGTGCTTTTTTGTCATCCAGAGAGAGAAGTCAATAAAGAAATCTCAAATAAATTTGACTGCCAACGAAGATGATCACTGTCAATAAAATCTCCTCAATTTGGTGTTCCTTGACCCCTCCCCCTTCAACATTTACTACAAAATATTGATATCTGTTCAGGGAAAACAAGTTCTTGTTTATAGTGCAAATTAGCTGACTTAAGAGACCATGACTGTTGATTAGAAATATAAATATATAAAGGAAAATGTTTCCATCAAGCATAAAAAATTTACATGTTCATGTATCTTGGTAATTGTTTAGATCTGTTAAAATCATCATCATCTGAATGATACAATCCTTTTTCGTCATCATAATGTCCTTCAAATATATGTTTAGATGATCTTTGTAAATACTGAAATACCTGTGTAGGGTTTATGAACTCAGCATGTGGATGAATGTTACTCTCCATATGCACAGGTTGTCTGCTTCTCGTTCCGGTCAATTGTTCCACAGTTTATAATTCTTACACGCTCATCTGAGACATTCAGGCAGACTATACAAGTATTTACCATACCAATTCTTCAAAAGTCAAGTTAAAACAATGTTTGATAGGATACATACATCCTTAGTAAAATAAATAGCATTTCAAGCAGCAGGGGAAAAGGACCGCAGGCAGTTTGTATCATGTTCCAGGTGAATAATTGATGGTTACGCATCTCACTAGTGTTGAGTTTAAAAAGAGTGGGGCTGCCTTGCTCCATTTAGAGTGAAATGCGATCTGACAAGGGGAATATTAGTTGATGGAATTAATGACGTGGTTTTGATCTGACCAGATGGGACCATGCAATTTATGAGCCTACCTGCTGGGGTTGACTAGGTTAACTCGCAAGTGCATGTTGGTGTTGAAATGCCTTTTTGTTTCATAATTGCAGCCATGAAATTACACGATAAAGGGACTACCATGAATCACGTTTTCATATGTAGTCAGCAGGGTTCTAGATGTAATTTACATGTATTTTGTTTCATTTAACTGTGTGCTCAGTTGCGTTGTATTTATCATAATTCCTGCTGAAGCTGTTGAATTTAACAATTTAAATGTCTGTGAACTTTGTGTTTCTTTTGCATAAATTCGGGTTCTTAGATTAGCTGATTTTGCATGAATTCAGCATAGTTCTTGTTTTGTCTGTGATGCATTTGGTTGACTTCAACATGGTTCTTGTTTCAGCTGTGCTGGGTTTGATTGAATGCAGCATGGTTCTTGTTTCGTCTGCTGCATTTGGTTGAATTCTGCATGGTTCTTGTTTCATGAGTGCTGCATTTTGTTGAATTTTGCATGGTTTTTGTTTCATCTGTGCTGGGTTTGGTTGAATTCGGCATAGTTCTTGTTTCAACTGTGCTGGGTTTGGTTGAATTCCACATGGTTCTTGTTTCAGCTGTGCTGTGTTTGGTAGAATTCAGCACGGTTCTTGTTTCAGCTTTGTTGCATTTTGTTGAATTCAGCATGGTTCTTGTTTCAGCTGTGCTGCGTTTGGTTGAATTCAGCATGGTTCTTGTTTCAGCAGTACTGTGTTTGGTTGAATTCCGCATGGTTCTTGTTTCAGCTGTGCTGCGTTTGGTTGAATTCAGCATGGTTCTTGTTTCAGCAGTGCTGTGTTTGGTTGAATTCAGCATGGTTCTTGTTTCAGCTGTGCTACGTTTGGTTGAATTCAGCATGGTTCTTGTTTCAGCTGTGCAACGTTTGGTTGAATTCAGCATGGTTTTTGCTTTAGTTGTGCTGTACGTGTTATTTTGCTTACTGTGGAATGTAATGCACAGTTTCTATTGTCGGTTTTTTCATAGTACAGTATACACATGTGTGTTTGTACCCTACATGTATATCTTCCCCAGGCTATATACCGTCCGGTACTTCCTATCTCGTATCAAAAATCATATGTTAAATCTTGCGTGGGTGTGCTACAAAAGCGCCTTTCATTTAGACAGTCTAACTTTGGCCATGAGTTGCAATCGACACTATCTTTCCTTATGATTTCTGAATCGCCACAAGTTGGCAAGTAAGAAATCACATGCAGTGCCTAGACTCTTGTCAGACAACCCCCCCCCCGAACATTTTTATTTACAACATGTTTCGTAGGCTACCGTATTTCTCCCATTTTGACAGGTGTGCATTTACATTCAAAAATTCCAAATTCACATTCACAGTGTGCTAGTGATGACTCATCTTGATCAGAATTTTAGCAGCCACAGAGAATTACTGTAAGACTTCAGAAGATGGTGTGGTTCTGAACTGAATTGCTATGGAAAGAGGGGGTTGTAAGTATTTGGCAGTTCCTGTGTGTAAATATTGTACATATAATGCCTGAATCTGAAAAAGACAGTTTATATTAAGGTTTAAATTTATACCTCTTTGCTAGGTGCCGGTATGCCCTGAGAATGGGCGTCAAGAAAACATTTATTCATTTCTCTCGCACCAAAGAGTACTGTTGGGCTGCCTATCTTTGTCAAACTGCAAGTTTAGATTATTCACAATGAATTCGGATAAAAATACCCTTTTTTCTTGGCAAGGAAATTTACCTGTTTTTTAAACCAAAAAACTAAGAACTTCAACAACTTTGAATTGATTTCAATCAAGGGGAAAATACGAATTCTTACCTCATCTGTAGACAGAAAATTAAATTTGTGACTGCTCCTCGCCTTGCGTCTTATAAGTTCCAGTGATGATGATGTTGCAAATACTGCTGATTGTTCCTCCAGGGAGATAGTCCTCAATACAAAGTGGGATGCAGATGTAGTCAGTCTAGTCACAACTCCAATTACATCGGTTGTTAATGAAGGAGACTGTACTGCGTGGGAGCACTCTCTGTGGAAATTGCTTACAAGGATAATTGCAAGGAGTCTTTTCTCGACTCATGTAGGGTCAGTCTGATGACGTGCTGTCGTAGCATTGACAGACAAAGGCTGGTCACTTTGGGTAAACTGTGAGCCTTTTAGTCACCATTTTGTAAAATCCAAAAGTATTATGTAATCAGCAGCAGGACCGTCAGAAGTGGTTGGAATTTGCCTCAAAATAGCAAGTTTTTCCAGATGAATTTCTGGTAACCTATATTATCACGTGTCACGTTCAACTCAATGATGAAGCATGACTGGCTTGAAATGAAATGTAGCCCAAGTTTATATCATTTGTTTAGAGTAATAATAACCACGTCATGGAAGGAGGCAAGCCAGTCAGAGGCATTTAAACTGAATGACATGACCATCTGCCAAGGAATTATCTTCAGCGACCTCTGCAGGGTTCGTCTCAGTTGCTCGAGCTAGCAAAGCCCACTCAGCTCATGAACAATGTCACAAAAGACAATTACAGGTTTGATTAAGCCCCCACCAGCCAAATGGTTTTCTCGGCCCAGGTGTCTGGCTGACCGGTCAAAGAGTTGAACAGCAAAACACTTCACGACTGGCAAAACTGCAGGATTCAGCCTGTCAGCGATCGGTAGTTTATTCTCTCTTTCTCTTCCTGACCGATAGTTTGGATTATCAGTGGCCCTTCGGGTGCTTATCCTTGCAGCAGGAACGAGGCTTACCGTTTGGTTTGCCTTGGCTGTACCGTTGCAGTATCCGTTCCCATTCAGTGACCTATTCCTGGATGAGTTGCTAGTTGCATCCAAGAGAGACTGCTAGGAAAAAAAGAGCGAACAGTGAATCTCATTGTGTACTTTAAAATGTTGCTGTCATTTCTTCTTACATAAAATCAGCATCTGAAATGCTTAGCTGATGGAGCAATTAACACTTGATGACATCATAAACAAGTTGGCAAATCATCAGTGGAAACTCAGGTTGATGATGTCATCAGTGCAGGCGTGAGAGTTGTTTATAGAGAACTGAAGTCTTGCATGAACTGCATTTTTATCTCCTAAACAGGTTTGATTGGCTTCCTCATCAGAAACGCTAAAGATGTGGGAAGGCAAATATTAAAAAACAAATGATTAACACAGAATGAGCCTAAAGTTCCCGTATTGTAAAACTTTGTTTCACTCACAGCATATACATGTAGTTTCAGCATTGCTCAAAAATCTTGCAGGAGTTAATATCAGGATTTTTGGAAAACATCGTGATAACTGGGAACTTACAATTACAACGGACTCTGGAGACATTGTAATTATCTGCATGTAGATGAAGGCAGGTTCGTGTTTCTTTGTCATAAAGTGAACTATCACAAAATGATGGAATTTTACAGTGTACTAAAAATAGCAAAACGTGGACAAAAATAGTAACCTGCCATTCAACAACCCCAGTTCTGGCGAAGTCCAGTAATGAAACCAACAGTAAAGCTCACCACTGGCATTCAGGCAGGTGATACACCTGACTATAATGGATAAAAAATTTTCCAGCGGCTGTTTGCATCGATAACACAATGTGAACAACTTACATGTATGTGTACACTCAAAAATGAATCGCCATGTTTGATTCTTTTAAATGTGCTGGTCTTTGCATACGGGTCATTCTATCAATTTGGGGTTCAATTTTTTTCCCCGTCCCTGTTACGTCTGGAATATGTTTTTTGATGTTTAGAACTCACTGTTTGATTCCAAGATTGCATAAGTACTGTAAGTTAGCTGCCAGACAAATAAATATAGTTTGAACTCAATTTCAGTGATACATCCCTTGTCAAACGTGTTAGATGATACATCTCAGAGGTAACAGGGACGGAAAATGTCGCATTTTGGACCCCAAATTTATAGAATGACCCATACACACAGGAATGATGTTATGATGTCACGACACTGCATAATTCAATCTGCACTGTGAAGTCTTTCTTTATCAACTTCCAAACTTCCTCACGAAGTTTCTTTAAACCTTCTCCCGCCAGTGTCTCACAGAATCCCTCCTTTCAGATTTTATGAAAATAAAAATAGCTCGCTTACTTCCTCATCTCATTCTAGATTTACACACGGAAATCTGAAGTACAGCAACTTTCAGATATATACACTCTGTACATTTAATTTACCCCTAACATCGGAATTCACCTCAGTCACATTTCTTTTCCTATGAACTTTCAAATTGTTGACATAAATGCAAAGCTGCATACTCATGTACTCTATATGCATCATCAAAATGAACTGGCATCAGAAAGTTACTGAAAGAAATCAGACATACCAGACTTCGAGGTTGTCACTTAGACAATGATGAGTTGCTTCAAGGAAGCTCCATTATCCAGCGCTCCTGGTACAGTGGTAGCAGAGACAGGGATTGGGATAAGATTTCAGCAGACGGATAGACCTACCATCCTCATTTCTCCATTAACGTGTTACAACGATGCTTGTTAATACATCGGCAAATCCTCCCTGAGACGAGTCACGGCCTGGATGTGAGGATGATTCGACGTACTGATGATGTATCTCTATCACATTGACTGCCTGGCAGTGAAAAAAAAAAGAAATTCGTGCCAGGGCGGGATCTGGGAGGTTCGTCGCGTGAGTCATAAAAGACTGACGGCAGGAGACAAGAGGATGAAACAAGCCGAGGCAATTTTTCTCGGTTGCCGTGCATCAGTGTCGCCACCGGCAAACCTATTCTGTGTGCTTTTTTCCGAGGGGAGTACCGCCGGTTTCTATTTATAGCGTGCATTAGGAGGAAAATATTATTTGTCGAATTACGGTGCCTGCTTTCTCACTTACGTGTGTGGATGTGCGAGCCTGCGTTTGGAATGTTCCATTTGAACCTTGGGGGAAGTGACGAGAATAGAGTTTGTTCACATATGCACCCATGTCTTGAGTTTAATATGCTCTACTCGAAATCATTGCAAGCATCAAAAGTCATTGTAGACAAGACTCAAAGAATGATTTTGTGTCAAGTGATCAATACTTCATTTTGATATTTCTGGGTTTTCATTAACAAGTGAAACTGATTCATGCATCATTTTAATTCCGTGTGTTCAAATTTGACGGATCCTGAAAAACAGTGCGATGGGTAGTAGAATGTGCCATTTCCCCCCTTGCTGTACCAATAACAAATAAAAAAAATTCCATATTTCCTACAGTCTTGTGTCAGGGTTACAGGAAGCTTTATCTGCCTGTTTACTTTGTGAACATTTCCTATTTGTGACTTCATGATAGAATCACCCACTAAACCACACGGCTTATCACAGAAAAATGTAATTCGTTCTTGCCATGATAACACTATAATCCGCTCAATACCAAGTACGGCTAGAGGTGTTCCAGTTTGTCAAAGAGGCATTCTTCACGGAGGAGTTATTTTGTCAGTTTGAAGCTCTTTTCCTTATATGAATTTGTTTCTTGTTACTGCATTAATGCATACATTTTCAGCCTGAAGAAAAGAAATGCATTATATTTCTCTAAGACAAGAACCTAAATGTGTCTTTTGGTTTAATTCAGTCCATGTGCTGAATACATGAATGTGCTGAATGAATATTATTTTAAATAAAATGAAATCACAGAGGTCTGATGTTTTCATGTGAACATCCAGTACAAAATGAAAAAAAAAGAAACAAGAAACCAATTTTCCACTCATCCATGTATTTGTTAGATATATAGCATTTTCCTACGTTTTCACTTTTTACGTAGGACTGGCAAGAGATCAGAAGACCATAAGGTGGAGGAATGAAAGTGGGTATGAATTAAAGGGCATTGATACAAGGCAGCTTGCGGTGTCGTGTTTCAGCAGTTCACGTAAAATTGTTCGATCAACAGTAATTTCGCGTTGTTTGGATTGTTCGCTGAGTATGGATCGACTGGGAATCGAAACAGTAGCTGTTGACACAGCAGAAGAGAAAAATGCTGTACTGATTATAAAAAAATGTGTCACTCAATGCACTTGCCGCTCATATCTAACCAATTTAATACTTAGTAGCTCACCACTTTTCCAGACATATTTTAACCTAAGATATTTTGGGGAGGGGGGCGACCTTGGGAGGCCTGTTTGTTCAAGCGTTCAGTTAATTGCAAATATTGACAGTGAACAAGAGTAACTGTGAATTTTGGAGAAGAATGATCGGGAAAGTTCACTCTACTCTTACGTACAACACAATGTTTGCTAGTCAGTAGATTGGACTGTTGATACTTTGTCTAGCGCATTGATGTAGCGGAGTTCAAAATAAGAGATGATAGGAATCAAGCATACGACGGAGCATCAGTAGATTGACTAACAAACACTCCATGTACATTACTAGACTGCTAGGCGTAACACGCTATGAGATATATCATCTTGAGCCACACATTCGGTATTAAGACATCATTGAAATGGAAATTCGGCGATAGGAGTTCCAAAGCTTATCCGTTTTACACGAACTGATGTCTGGAAATCTATAAATTATAAGGATATCTTTAGAATTGTATAAATACTGACATGATTTCTCCAAAATCGTTCATTTTCGTCGGGGGGGGGTGAGTATAAAGCACGCTTCGTTCCCTTTGCATCATCAGTTTGTCTCTACCCCAGGCTGGATAAGACAAAATTGTATTTTATTGTGTTTATTTCTGTACTGTAGATGCAATTTACAAGTGTTGTTCTGGGTCCGAGTGATCTGAACAAATAGACACTAAGTGCCCTTGTGGCAAAGCAGTGTGGATACATCGATCTCGTCTCAATTGCTCTTCGCACTGGTCCTCTCAGCTGGGTCTTTAGTCTTTACAACCGTCAAGGGACGCAGCTGATTTTTATTGCTGCTTTATAGCCGCGCTGAATCTTTGAATTGTACAAATTGGACGGAGAGATTGAGGCAAGTGGTGTTTTAGAAGGGAGACAGGTGAAATATGCCCAGTCCTCCCTCGGTGCTAAATTGAGGAGATAATTTCCCCTTTTAATAAGGTGAGAGAAATGCCATGAACGTGTCTTGAAAATGTTTTTACTACTCTGGCATTAGAACAAAATCTAAACGACATGTATGCGAATTTCAATTCACATTGCTGTTGCAACTGAAATTTGTAGTCTGAGCTTGAATCTGTTGCATGTTCCTTTTGAGTTAGTTCTGAAGTGTCTTTAGTACAGCGTCCAAAGTTCTGCTTTAAGAATTGTCACGACTAACGATAAATGTACGTGTACATCTTGCTCCTTATACCGCTGTAAACCCAGGTGAAATCTTACGAATGCCAAGTCAGTTCACCTTTTCTTGATCACGTTGAAATAACAGTAACAACTTCTTACGGTAACATTTTCATGTAACACGGATAACAGATTTAAGTACAGACAATCTAAACATTGAAATGTATGTGGTGGAACGATGTAGTCTACTGACCAGTTCACAAGGTTATATAAATTGCAGACGTTCCAAATACCTGACAACTTTAAGTAAAGAAAGTGATAACACGTTTATTACAGGGATTTTAACATGCATAATTAACCAAGGATGATATACAGTCTTACCTGTTTGCCAGTTGAACAAGATGTAAAACGTGCTACATGTAGTTCAAATAAACACACGACTGCAGAGTGATGGATGAGATCACAAGCAACATTCGTTTGCAAGTCATTGGTACACACACCAGCTACCGGCTTGTAGTCTCTTGTCGAGCATAGCACCACGAGATCATTGCCATGACCCGAGCAAACTGCCTTGCCTGCAAGTCTAAACAAGGCCATGAATATTGATGACTTACTATTTATAGCCTAAATATACTAAGGATAATAAATATTGCATTGTTTGTGCTTTTCGGTGAGGGAAAAATCAATTGTGTTCATAAAGCTGTGAGTGTTGTGTTTGGGCTGGAAGGTGCATGTTGACAATGCATGTATCGATACACCCAAACCTCAAGGCTATAGAGAGTAGTGAAATTGATGGCAACAGTGGTGAAGAATGGTTGGTATTCTCAAGCTGTCTGAATGCAATATTAAAGTGGTTTTCAATATATTGAAATTTGGTTGTTAAATCTTCCTTTTTCACTTTGAATTTGATTTTTACCATATTAGATTTCTACTTCCCTTTCAGAATTATTTCGTGCTTTTTTGTTGCATTTCTTTTTCTCAACGTCTGCTGGACTGAGTCTGCATTGTATAATCCCCAATCACACATCCCATCAGTTGGTTTCGAAAAATTTGTGTACGAGAGGGCTCACTTAAGTCAACCATGTTTAATTGAATCAGACCTTCGTGTCAGTGATAAAAAGTTCTTAAAAATTACATTCAAAGTTCCTTATTGCAAACATTGGTCTAAACATGAAATCAGGTGACAAAATTTGTTGATGTTTAAATGTATTGACCCCAAAAAACAAGTTTAATAGATAAAATAACCCAAACGTAGTCCGTTTGAATACAGTTTTTCTTGGATGCTCAGAGTAAGACCCTAAAAGTATTTTCAAAATTACATTTTTGCTGTAAAGACCCTCTGGCACTGAGCCGACGTATAGTGTTTATGATGAAGGATTGCTCCCCATTCCTGTTTTGGAATAGCTGTGTTTATTTGGAACTTATTATGTTTAGAAATATCATATACACAGTGCAACTATCCAATCATTGTGACTTTCATGTTGCTAGCTAAGCGATAACTCGGTCGTGTTTCTTTAACGAACGCTATGCATTGGACAAAGAGTTAAGTATTTTTCTTCTGACTGAAAGCTGCATGCGCAAGTGTTATAATCTTTATTTTTGCAAAATAAATTTCATTGGGAAAAAAATATGGGAATACTTATCAAAACCTGTTACTGGTTAACACTAACAGTTAAGTTTAACGTTTTACATATTCGACCAATCTACATGTATATTGGTTTAAGTTTCCAGTATTTTGAACCAGTTCCAACAGAGGGCGTTACTTGCTTTCGTCTGTCATGGCTTTTCTTTTTTTTTGCGGGAGACCCAATCTCAGTCGTATTCCTGATGAACGTATTGTATACATTTGAAACCCTAAATGGGATGGTACCGGGTGATTGGGGGGGTCGGACACTTCGGTCGGAATGAAACCGTAGAATAGGGTCTGGTTCTTTAGAGTTAACGTTTTCTAATGAATACATTACGTTGGGGAATCTGACCAACATTGGCCCCCCCCCTGCGAATACGATCTGTTGGTGGGAAATGTTGGACCGAAGATTTCAGGTGTACGGTGGATCTATTCCAGGCTAAAGAATCTGAAATATTAAAATGAAAAGTTGTACTAAATATGACGGAGGTTTGATGTGTCAATAATATGTCATTGAGCTTCTTCCATAATCTTCAAAATATTTAAATAAATCCTCAGTGGAAAGGTGTTCGCAAGAACTCAAACTCAAAAGATCCTTCAAAAGTTGCCTTTCGGTAATACGAGCTCGGGTAAAACGAGATTTCGGTTAACATGAGCATTTCTTGCACACCGACTGAGTGCAAATCTATTGTTATCTGTCTACATATATTTAGTTTTATCTAAAAGAGATAGATCCCATGTCTAGCGCCCTCTACTGCCTTCCCTTTTTCTTTGATAGTTTCCGAATCATGGGCACAATATCGCACATAGTAACCCCAGTGTTACCCAGACTGTGCATTTCTCCTATTGAACTTGTGTTCGTTTTTATCTCCCCCGGTCTAATCCCCACAATGATCAGACGAAATCCTGATAGCAGCGTGTACATAGTTGATGTGACATTTACTCAAGGCATGCCCAGTGACACGGTTACCAAGGCAGGCTTGATTGGCCGTTGTTGAGGCAGGGGCAGAGAGCTAATAAAACACGCTATTTATGTGTGTGATGGATTCTGAAGGAAAAGAATTGTCTGTGGGGAGGAAAACTTATTACGAATAAATCTATTCTGTGGAAGGGAAACTAAAGCCACTTTAATTGTCAGTTGATTTCTGTAACCAAATAACGAAAGATACGTGGAATAGTTGGTCATGTTTCACCTGGTCATTTGGTTATTGATGATTCACTGACAGGAATATCGTCAAAGGCCAAAAAGTGTTTCAATAAATTGAAAATAACAGCGAGAATGTAACATGCTTCCGCCGTGTTGGATAATTTTTGTATGGTTTGGCACACTTAATTTGTTTCCCGTTTGGACCTTTACGGTTGTTAGCACTATGAATTGGATGGCCCCAAAATATTGGAGGATTCTTTTAGAATAAACCTTGTCAACTGTCGTTACAGAGTACATCTTTTTATCAAGGTTATATCAAATCCCTTTTACACCTTGATTTTGGTCAACAGTGACATTTGGATTATTCGCATTAAATCTGTAATTAGTTTAACTAAAATTAATTAAATAAGATCAAAACAAATTGGAAACCTCCTATGCTGTCTCTGAGATGAATATGTATTTCAAAGTTCCTGACATTCAGCTGTGTCAATAAATCAAAGGCTCAGTAAACGGACTTTAGGTCGTTTGAAGTGGATCCACATTCATCAATTTGCAAACTGCAACCCAAGAGTGAGCCTGCTTGGTGTCTGTTTCAAAGAGGGTGCGGCTTACCCGCCAAGCGATGATCAGCAAACTCCCGGGCGATCCTGACCAAGCAAAGTTAACTTTGGACCTCAACTTTGAAAAAAATAGGTGATGAGCCCACGGCGACTCTTTGACACCCCTGCGGGCGGCATGTTGTGTACACACTTGTGCCCAACATTTTAAGGGAGGGCCTTGCGAGTTCTTATCTTTAGCCCATACCTTAATCTGATATCAAGCAAAGGATCTGTGTTGATAGGTACCCGGACTCATCAGTATTGGTTCCAGTCGGCAGCCAATGTGTTCCTCTTTCACATGACGGCACATGGTATCTAGAAAACACCGAAGATCGCTGTTTACCGACCCAACACTATGGCTTTGGCCGGGAGAAGCCGGCTAATTCTCGGCCTAGTTTTTCTGTGGAGCACGGCGTCTTTACTGAGTGTCGGTGATGCTTGGTATGTGCAGTTTTAGGGTCTGTTTTTCTATTAAGTGAAGGCGATTCTCGAAAAGATAACCAGGGAATACCATTCAGGAATGTGTCATTTCAAAAGATAACATCATGGTCTGATAAAGGAATATTCCAGATGTATAATAATTGGTTCGTTCGTTTAGTTTGGCATAACTTCTTGGGGCAAACTTGTGAAGTCTTAATGTCGACAGCTGTTTGAGTGATGTTCTGCAGGTGATTACACTGATCGACACGTCGATTATTATTTGAAAAAACTGTGGGTACGTTTCTTCTTAGAAGGGATCCTTTACTTGTATAAATACAAACTGTCCAAGTTCCATCGTTCAGTGCTACAAAGGCTGAAGGGTTCCTGCGTTGGCTCGGTCATGACTTGATAATATGACCTTGTATAAAGTTTTGAAAACATTACTTAAACCGGCTTTTAGAAACAGCTTTGCAAAATGTAGCGAGTTGTATTTATTTGTTTTGTTTTTAGCCTTTTTCATGCTTGTACGAAAAAATTAAAGCCGCTCTTTCTTTATGAAAAGAATAATTTGAAGTTGTGTAATCTCCGAACCCATTCACTTAAAATTTTCAAAAATTACCTGACATAAAATATATGCATTGCTACCAAAGTTGGAGGCACTGTCAATTGTTCATTTCATACACTACAACAAAACGCCTGATTTCCTCACTATTCACTGTAGACCAAAAGCTAACTTACTAAAACGTTCGAAGGTTTTATTTTTCTGGTTTAGGTGTTTTGTAGGCGACAGACGAAGTTCAACCTACTCTTGAATTTATAGACTGTTGGCATATGTAAAGTTTTTAAAAAGTTGGACCTGTATTGTTGGAGTTGTTTTTGAAAGTGGAAATTTCAGCCCACAAAATTCCTTTGCATGAAACGTTTTTAGCTTGTTTGTAGGTTGATATTATGGTAACCCGATAGTTACCCACCAACACCCAATTATGCCCAATAAAACAGGTGCCTACACATGGCACAACCCATGAACTCGAGTATTTGCCAAAAGCATACCAGAAATGGTGATGAAGTGCTCTACCAATAGCGTCTTATAATAACTGACAGTGTGGTCATTGTTATCTATTGAAATCTCACCGATTGCCTGTGGATCATTCTTCTGAGATTTTTGGTTTGGGCCTCGGGGTATTTGATCATTGTACGTACATTGAAAAGATTTTATGTTATCAACCAAGTTTATAATTCACAGAAAATTATCGATAGGAATGGGAATTTACCCTGACGGAGGCTTTGAATAAATTTCAGCTGCGGATGGGAGGGGGGCGCACTGGGAGCACGCCCCCGGCCATCTGCACGGCAATGAATTTTAAATTGGCTCCATTGCATTTGCGACTAAGGAGTTCGCACTGCACAGTCGCCCCTTTCTGAAAATCCGGATTTCCCTTGAATTGTATAGAAAGTACATCGACTAGAAAATGTTTTCACATACAGTTGCAATTTGCCCTCTCAAAGAAATGAGAAATATACAAATCAACATGAGCACGCACTGGAATAAACTTAGTTTGTGCCAAATCGTTTAGAGTTCAACTCTGCACATCATGTGTTCAATTTCTCTGACATCTAGAAGCTGGTAATTTAACCATCAGCTTCTCAGGAAGTAATGTGCTGTACGACCTCTTCATCAGCATTTCAAAATTGTGTCAGAAATCAAGTCAATGTTTCCCTTCTTTCAGGCGACACTGGCATCCAAGTTACTCAGACCCGGACGAAGGTAAGTGAGCTATCATAATACGTAATGTTTTCGGAAGGCTGCATTAAGGAGCAATGCTTGGTGGTGTGGGGATTTTCACTTTTATGTTTTTTTTGGGGGGGTATTGTTTTTGTGAGTGATTATATTGAAGTTATTAATCCATGTGTCGATTGATCAATGGTTTGGTGAATTGATACAGCATAAATTGATGAACTGATGAGTCGATGAGTGAACTGTCAACCAATTGATGCATTGAGTGATGGCTAGAGAGATCAATGGGTCAATCAATGGATTGACAGAGCGACAGATAAATGGGTCCATGGATGGATTAAAGGATTCATTTATGGCTGGAGGATTGCTCGATCAATTGAAGGATGTATGGAAAATAATTGATCGATAGATTGGTTGTTCAATGGACTAATTTGTCAGTGGTTGACAGGTTGAGAGGGTTTTAAACTTGTTTGTGTGGTTTAGTGTTTTGTTTCGTTTTTTGTGTGCTTTAGTTTTGTTCTTTTGAGGTGTTTTGTTTTGTGTTTGTTTGCTTTAGTTTTGTTCTGTTGAGGTGTTTTGTTTTGTGTTTGTTTGCTTTAGTTTTGTTCTAGTGAGGTGGTTTGTTTTTGTGTGTGTTTGTGTGCTTTCTTTTCCCACTATTAATTGTTGAGATTTCCGTTTTCATTTCATCACCGTAAAAGGAATTTGGAAGGACGTAGTTCAGTGTTCATTACTCAAAAACCAGGATGACGAAACCACACTTGCACCAATTAAGCACCCATCCTGTGAACAGGCAGCAGTGGATATCTCGTCATGTAAAGTCTTCGAACAAAGCAAAGAACACGTCCCTGTTTGTTTCTGACGTATTGTGCTAAATGTCAATAATTGCTTCGCTTGGTGACCGAAAAAGGCTAATCATATAGTTTGTGACGTCATACCAAACGTTTGTGTACTTTGTGTTAGTTTGCAGTTGGTACACCTCTTCACTGAGATGCTTTACAAGGAGTTGCTATATATTGAAGGCTTAAGCAAACAAGTCTAAAATCTAAAGCCTCGATTCCCGTTTTGTTTTGTTTTGTTTTTTTTCTTTGTGTAAACTATATTTAAACTTACCCAAGTAAACAAAGGCATGGTTTAGTATTCAACTTTTGCACGTGGAAGAATGCTCACACGCAAGGAGTTAAACTATAATTGATAGGGAACAAAAGTAATTTGACGCCTGATGCTTTTCCAAAGTAAATCTGTAGGCAAATTAGGCTTTTTTGTCGCTGCTTTATTTATCATCTCAACTGTTTTAGTTACAAATAATGATTAGCTGAAGTCTTTGGAAGTTGTAGAGCCTCCCTCCGAAAATCAGAACAATTTATTGCTATTTTATTTCAAATATTGAGGTATTCATTTTGCAATCCGATTTTCTATTCCTTTGTGTGCTGTCAGGATTCGCAAAAACCACAGGACTGACTCTATTCGATTAATGTCTGACGCCAAAAAATAGCTTCTCACCGAGAAAGCCACAGTATTGATTTTAGATAAATTCAGTGTAATCCAGGTTTATAATGAAGATGTGCCGTCGAGATTCTGGATTGCGGATTAGCTGGGTAACACCAGCAAATTGAGTATACTTTTATCTGTGGTTATCATGGTGGACATCTGTACTTGTTGCATGAATTAACGGCATTAGTGTGACGGTCATTCTATATAATTTGTAATGTTTCAAGTATTTCCTCCGTTCACGTTCTGTTTGTAAATCCCAAACGATTTTGATTCACCGAAAGACTGGAATTTATGCCCGGAGGTTTCAATGCCGTCTTACATGTATTGGGGTACATATATGTATTAAATGTGAAATTGTTGATCAATCCGTTAAAATCTTAAACACTATGCGGATTAAGCGATCATTAAAACGTTTATTTCATTCGAAAAAATATAGCCCTGCAATAAATTTTGAATTTAAAAGGTAACTTTATCAGAGTTACCCGAATTATTCTTGCTTGATGAATTTTGCGGGGATCGTTTAGGTTATTGCTTCAACTACAAATCCAAGAAGCCTTGCCTGATTTACTTGGCTACGGCTTGCAATAATGCACACGTCTATGGGAGATAGCTGCAGCTGCTGTAGCCAGTGACCACCTCAGGGAGTTAAAGGGGCACGCTTTGTTAGTCGTTGCCAGATAATTCCTTCGTGGCCTCACCTCATTGCATTCACATTTGATGTTTTAAAGGAATTTGAAACTTTAACAAAAGAAACAGACTGTTATTGAGTTGAAGGAAAGCCTTCTTCTCGAAAAAGGTGAATTAGATTAAGCCTTTAGACTACTCCTATCAAAGTATCAAAAGTATGCCTAGAAAGTTTCCATGTCACTGGAATTTTGTTGGAAGAGTTCAGAGTATCAGACGCTGATAACAATGCAATATTTTACAACCCAACCGTCTTATCTCCGGTGAATGCTTCTTGCATTACGTAAAATCGGGTACCTGCTTGACAACCAAAGAAGATAGGCATGTTAAGGTTACAGAATTACACTTACTATAAAGTTATCTACCGGCATCCTACCTTTAGAAAGATTAAGACTGACGTGTTTCCGGTCACTGCTGACGTCAATAGACACCATGTCCCCCACCTATATCTCAGTTACTGTACTTTATCAACGTCCGTACTGATGCCATGCTGATTGCAACAGTTGAATGCACTGATCCCATAAAAAGAAAAATAAACTCAATTAATGTTACCAGCAGCAGGACACAATTTGAATACGTTGCATTAAGTTGAAAAAAAAACGCTTAAAAACTTATGTTAAATAAACCTCGTGAATACGTTCATCGTGTATTTACATTCGACTATATTTGTTTTGTTTTGTTTTTATTTAAAATCAAATAAAATATGATAAAATGTACTTTTTAAATAAATCTGAGATGTATCTGTTTCATATATGTTCTATCATCCTTATTTCAGGAGATATCACAGAAGCGTTCCTGACAATAACATTAACACTTTGGTGATCATTCCCCTGCACCTTTCTATGAAACCTTTTTACGTTGATCATTACGTTCCCTGATTTGATTTGAAATGCATATACATTTTTATTATCAGACAGGTCAGCTTGAAGTTTTGGTATGACCAATGTGGGTGATGTAAATTTTGATGTGTCGTATTTGCAGACTTTTGGTCGATTAGGATTTCAGTTTCTGTTAATTTTACCGTAACCACTTTTTTCTGTATTCTTATTTCGACAGCGTATGACGTAAAGAGAAATGTCATTCAACCCGTGGTGAAAAAGAGTGCGCAATTAGCTTCATACAAAGATGGCGCGCATCCCCGTTATAGAAGGAATACTCTGCCGATCAGCTACAGAAGCCTCAGTAAGTTACCAAGGTTACAATACTAGCAACTAAAACAATATGATCATCATAGAGAGGGTAAAACGAACACTGATATATTGTGTATTACGAAAGGAAAATCATCGTAACAGATCTACGACTGATATAGGCAGTTCTTCATTTCCCTACTTGCACTTTGACATGAATGAATTGGAGTTTCAGTTTTAAGTCACCTTATATCTCATTGCTATTTGAATCGTGAAGCCTACACTCAATTAAGTTGTTTATAAGATACCCCATCTTACAGCCCGTGCTATAAAAAATAACAGCCTTGACAGCAAAATGCCACCATACGAAGCGTGTTGGTAATACATTATAATGATTGATCAATCTATAGCTGGGTTAGGCCTACTTCAAGTACACCTAGTGGATAAGAAAAAGGAATTGGATGGGGAGGATAGATGTAGATTGATCCAGGATGGTACGTTTCCCCTTAGTTTGCTTCCTATTGGAAAATATCACGTTGATAGGTAAATTTCCTGCCGTAATTTTATTCTTGAAGTTTATTTTGTTCAAGGTGAAAAATGCTCACTTCAACGCGTTATCGACGTTATGCCATGGGTATCCTAGTGTGACACAATTATTACGTCGTGATATACATGTAAATGTAATACGATAATGTACAACTTCCACATTTCGAATGTCCGCGTTTCGATGTAAAAGCCTTGTTTATTCACGGCAGTTGTGGGCCAGATCGGACGAATAAAGCCTGATCCAGTGTTGCGCCACTGTGCTAAGGTTTGTCTAACATTTACCGCGACATACAAAGAAAATGTCAGTGACCTTTTCACATTACTAACAATCGTTGCCTGGTTTGTCAACTTCACGATATCTGCTTTGGATTAATCTCATTTCATTGCAACAAGGTGTGTCTAACCACCGACCATTTTGATGTAATGTTTGCTGTGACATAGAAATTGTCAGTGACCTTTTCACATTATGAACAAAAGTTGCCTGGTTTGTCTACTTCGCGATGTCTGCTTTGGATTAATCTCATTATAGCTCGAGCGCATTCATTTGACTATGAGTGTTGTCGTCTGCAAACACGAAAATGTCCGTGCCTGGACAAAAAAATATCTAATAAAAGAGGACAGAAGTGCTGAATACCTAATCACGTCTTAACCAATAATTTCGATTTGATAGCGATTTGAAGGTTTAGCTTTCTCAAAAGTTTCTGTTTTAAAACAGGCCTTAAAAACATAGTTTATAACGTCAAGTGGAGAATTTTTCTCACAGCTGGGTAAAAAAAGTTTACATATAAAACCTTGCCTGATTGCGGTCAGTTCTTTACTGAAATTAATAGCAAACATCATCTTAGCAAAAATGGGTTTCAAACTGGAAAAACCACAGGAACCAATTTGATCACTCTGTGAGGTGTATATATTAATTCGTTTAACGAATAATAAAATGTTTTTATTTTACTTACAATAACCGGCGACAGAAGCTTCTAACGATCTATCAATGCATACTAGTTCTATAAAACGATAAGGTCGCGCCTTCCTTGAACGCATTTTGATTGGCTGTAACTTGCTAAGTAGACTCGCCTCAGAAAACCACGAACTGTAATGTGAGGCGAGCTTGCGTGGGTGTATCACGCTGAGACTGCATGATAAGCCGTGTGCACGGCAGGCGACTTGAATAAATTCTGGCAATTGTATAGATTACGGCTTAAGCTTTAGCAATTTCAGAAAAATGGTCAACTGCAAAGATCGTTTTGAACCATCATCGCACGCATTATGAACCCCAAGAATTTGTTTCAACAATCAACTTTATCTTATCAGTTAAAAAAAATTCAAAACCCCTTTATATTTTCGTAATGGTAAATTACTAATGGTCTACAAAATTATGTGGTTGAATAAGATTATTTCTCTTAAGTGTCTTCAGCTTCAGTTGGTCTATGTTTAGGTTGATAGCCAGAGTAAATACTGCAAAATCCTTGTGCTTACCTTTTGTTGCAGAAGTGCATCCTTGATGCCCCACATACACCCCACCCCCAAAGCAGGTTTTATATTGATTAATAAATGTGTATGAGAATATCATTGTAGTAAAGTCAAAGTGGTATTCCTTGTGCATTCATAAACAAAATTACTATTTTGCTTGATTGTACAATATTCGTGAGACCATATTTAAAAAAAAATGTACCTGCTTCATAAACATTCTTACTGCAATTGGCCTTATGACTCGCCAATTACTGGTTTGTGTGAATGAGTTGTCGTTGGGTTGGAAACCATAATTTTTTTAAACAAGCTATTTTTCGGCCACGTACCTCTTTATGGCAGGGTCAAAGAAAAGCTTAAACTAGTGTCTCGTCAATCTTTTTTCCCAGCTACGTTTTTTCCTTCTTTGTTGGCTAATTTTCCAAAGTATGTCGACTTCTTATTTTTATAAACAAAATTTGTGGCAATAAATGCAAGTTCAAGATGCTGTTAGCCAGAATGGAAGCTCCTGTAGATGGTAGAAGTATCAGAAAAGGCATCAAGAAAATCCGTCACCTTGGAAAAAAATCCCCCAAAAGTGCTACCTCCTCCCTCTGAAAAAATTGGATGAGGACTTTTTACGTAGCATAATCATTAATTTTGATCTGTCATCTTCTTCTTCATCAGCATCAGGCCAGCAAGGCCCAAGCGTTGCACCTCACTGCACTGCCTGGTCTCAGTCACACTTCCGAACATTTGATGGGAAGACCTTTAATTTCCACGGTGCCTGCCAATACACGCTGGTCCTGGACTGTTCATCTTTCACCTTCCGTATCTCCATTAAGAATGACATGGAGTGTTTCACACCAGGTACCGGTGTCTCATGCAACCGAACTGTAGAGATTCATAACGGTGATGCTGCATCGCCAATCTACCTGAGGCCTGGGCTGGTGGTGGGGCATGAGTTGTCCAGTCTTGATCTCCCGACCTCACTCGATGGCCTGGTAATAGAGAAGGTTGGCGATAGTATCATGGTCACCAGTGGGCTTGGTTACAAGCTGCTGTATGATGGTGATGAGAGTGTTACCGTCTACATCACCTCAGATAACCTGAGACAGCAAACCTGTGGCTTGTGTGGAGTTTACAATGACGATCCATCTGATGACTTCAAGGGACCGTTTGGAACATACGACAATGCCTATGACTTTGGTCTCTCTTGGAAAGAAGGTACAAAAATGTGCTTCTTGAAATGTTTGTGACTTTTGCTGCAGTTGTTGCTGTTGTAGTGTGGTTACTGGTTAGCATTGTCGTCGTATTGTTGTTTGTCTTGCTCTCTGTTTGTTCTTGGTGTTGCAGCTACTTCTGCTGTAATTTCCAACACTTCTCTTGCATTGCAGCCTTGCAACCAACACCCCCAAAAGATCTTATGGAGAAACAAACTGAACCTTTTTTTTCAGATGGTGATTGTGAAGACATCCCAAGGCCAAGTGTCTTGTGCACAGAGATTTTTATTCCACCTCATCTAGTTCACCAGTACAAGGGCTTCATTGACCTTTCCAATTTTGTAAAAGCAACCTGCAAGGCACTAGAGGATGAACCATCCTTCGCGAGTTGTCATTCGGTAAGACACTAATATAATACCAAATAGTTACTTAGCACATAGGGCTTCATTGGTGATCAATTTTTGAGTGCTGTAACAATGGAGAAATAGACTATACTGTAAGTACGTCATTTGAAAGAGTTCGTCCATATATTCAGACCTCTGTAAGTATGGAATCTTTGCCCCATGCCCATTGAGTTAATAATGCTCTATGTAATGGTTTTGTTTTTGATGCAGATTATTAATGTCAATCCTTACATTGAAGCCTGCCAGAGGGATGTGTGCAATTGTCAGAATGGCCAAGATGAGTGTGCGTGCAACAGCCTGACAGCGTATGCTGCAGAATGTGCACGATACGGTGTCAAGTTAGACTGGAGAAACAATGATCTGTGTCGTAAGGACAGACTTTTGATCTCTTATTGTTTTGTTCATTGTAACCAAAGAGTGACACATTAGACTGACAGAATTGATTGCAGACTGTAGAAACGTGGCACTACAGTTCAGAGGCCTCCAGACTTTGACCAGTTACAGGGGTTCTACAAAAGTATTATATTTCGTCACCGTTTTCATGAGGAGTGTAAAACTGGAGTGTGAAAAACTAGGTTTCAAGAAAATTGTATTTGAAATTGGGCGTTTTTCAAATGCTATTTTTCCCAGTCTTTCCCTTTCATAGCTGATGCTGTGTCTGTGGAACACAATTTGTCGCTCTGAGAAAACGAAAAATGTAGTATAGTTGAATTTTGCCCCAAGGAGGTCATCATTGATTCGGCTGATTTCAGAAGATTTGGTAAAAAGTGATTACAGCAAGTTGTAGGCATCGCATAACTTAGTTGATTTTGAAAAAAAAAAGGAATTTGAAGAAAATCCTGATCTTTGGCCAGTTTGTCTCTTCTAGAAAGTAGTAATAATTTGAACCTGAAATGTGTCCTTTTTTTTTACCAAAGTTGATGTTATATCAGTGATCTAAATAGAATATCTCAAAATAATTGATTCTTGTCATAATTTAATCTGATCCTGCAAGATTTAATGTAGTGGAGTTTACTCCAGTTTACAGTTCAGCAAACTGTTATACAATTGATCTTAAATGTTCTTTTCTGCCTTGTCTTACCCCCTATTCATTGTATTCAGCTTGGACCTGTCCATCAGGGACTGTCTATCAGAACTGTGGAACTACCTGCACCCAGACGTGCGGCTCAGCAGCAAGCGACTGTGAAGAAGATCATTCTGTTGGCTGTATTGAGGGTTGTCGTTGCCCTTCCGACCGCTTTCAAAACAGTGATGGTCAGTGTGTGAAGGAAGAAGACTGTCCGTGCATTAGTAATGGAGTGGAATATGAAACGGGATCAACGATATCTGATGGCTGTAATGAATGGTAATGCCACTTCTCCAAAAAAGTTTGAAATTGTTGTTTGTAGAACTCACAAGTAGTCCAAAACAGATGGGATAAATTAGGTTAGGCTTGCAGTTGCACCATGTACCATCAAGAATCTCTTTCATGAGTGAGTGGTTTCAAGAAGAATCGATGGTGAACACTCGACATTCCGAACAGTATGCTCTGTTCATCTTCAGGAGGGTGACTAGAGTGTTTACCATCAGTTCTTTTCAGAACCACACACTCATAAAAGATATATTTTTCTTGTACATGGTGCAACCGCAAGCCTAACCTAATTTAGTACTTCCACCATGCATAGCTTCAAGGCTTATCCAGAATATGGGATATTTCAAGTGTGATGTTCCAGACATTTCAATGTAGTACAATTTCAATATAGTGCAATTTCAATGTAGTATAATTCTTAAGTCACAATATATGGAGGGCCTGACATTTTGATACTAGCAGAATCTCTCTCAAAGGCAAAATGACAAATGGACTGGACAAACAAGCAAACGGGGAATCCACCAAGCATGGATAAATGCAGGACAAAAGGAAAGGTCAAGAAAGCTACAGGCTGGATAAAGGGCAAGGGGTGAAGGGGACTGCATGAAAGGCATGGTTGAGTAACAAAGGGGTGTGTGGGAAGAGATCAAAGAAAAATACAATGGAACGAACTGGATCCAAGGGGGGGGGGAAACTGCAGACAAAAGAGAGGGAAAGAAAAGAGTGTTAGTTATAGTTTTCCTCTTGGATGTTCAGGCCAGGGGTTGTATGATGCAGAGGTGTTTGATCCAAAGCTTCTCCCTGTTGAAGTGAACAGTATCTTTAAGGTGCCCAAGCGATTCTGTGCCCTGGTTAGGAAGGTTGAAGTGGTGGCTATCAGGGTATCTAGTCGTTTGGTTTTGACCGTAGATCTGTGGCCATAGAAACGCTTCTTGAGAGAGTTGTTGGTTTCTCCAACATACTGAACACTGCACACCCTGCAAGAGATAAGATATGTCACATTAGAAAAGCTACAAGTGATAGTACCTTTAGTTCTGTGGGTGGTATCGGAGGAGTGTCCGGAGAATGTGTCTGGTTCCAGGACATGGTTCTGGCAAACAACACATCTGTTAGATTCGCACTTGAAAGTGCCTTGCTGGGAGGGGGGAAGGGTATCCAAGGGGGGCACCTCTGCCCAAACGATAAGGGGTGTCTGGGATGGCACTGGCAAGGCGGTTTGAAGTGTACCGAATACGATGGTTGTCGTTGATTATTTTGCAGAGGGGAGGGAGACGCGGGTAAAAAGTGGTAACCAAGAGAACCCTGGGGATGGTTTCTTCAAGGGGGTCTTCTCCTTGAGTGCAAGACTTCTAGGGATGGAGCGGGCCCTATTGATAGAGCGTTGAACCTGGTGATAGCTGTGTCCCCCTGCAATCAAATGCCTCATCAGTTCCTGTGTATGACAGGAGAAATCTGAATCAATAGAACAAATGCACCTCAGTCTGATTGCTTGGCTGTATGCAATGCCAGTCTTGCATTGTCTAGGGTGACAGCTGGATGAGTGAAGATACTGATGGGTATCTGTGAGCTTGGATTACAGGTCAGTAGTCACATGGTGGTTCTCCTTCCGGATGCTGACATCAAGAAAGTCTGCCTGATGGAGGGAATATTCCGAAGTGAACTTAATTGTCCTGTGGAAAGAATTTATATGGTTAATGAAGATATCTAGACTGCCACTGGTCCAGATGAAAAANCCTTTAGTTTTGTCTGTGGTACCGGAGGAGTGTCCAGAGAATGTATCTGATTCCAGAACATGGTTCTGGCAAACAACACATCTGTTAGAATCACACTTGAACATGCCTTGCTGGGAGGGGTGTCAAAGGGGGGCACCATTGCCCGAACGATAAGGTCCTGTAGATTGCAGGGATGCCTGTAGGCCACAAGCGGGGTGTCTGGGATGGCACTGGCAAGGTGGTTTGAAGTGTGCAGAATATGATGATTGTTGTTGATTATTTTGCAGAGGGGAGGAAGACGCAGGTGAAAAGTTGTGACTAAGGGAACCCTGGGAATGGTTTATTCACGGTGGTCTTCTCTTTGAGGGCAAGACTTGGTGATAGCTGTTGCAATCAAATGCCTCTTCAGTTCCTGTGTATTACGGGAGAAATCTGAATCAATAGAACAAATGCGTCTCAGTCTGAGTGCTTGGCTGTATGCACTGCCAGTCTTGCAGTGTCTAGGGTGATGGATGAGTGAAGATACTAATGGGTATCTGTGAGCTTGGATTACAGGTCAGTAGTCACATGGTGGCTCTCCTTCCGGATACCGACATCAAGAAAGTCTGCCTGATGGAGGGAATATTCCGAAGTGAACTTAATTGTCCTGTGGAAAGAATTTATATGGTTAATGAAGATATCTAGACTGCCACTGGTCCAGATAAAAAATACATGATCAATGTATCTCTACCAGATCCAAGGGCGGCATGGTGCTGAAGTAAGCATGCGCTCTTCAAGGTTACCCATTAAGAGGCAAGCAAAGGAAGGAGCCACGTGAGTGCCTATAGGTGGGCTATGTACCTGTTGATAGTGTTTGTCCATGAAGGAGAAATTGTTCTTGGTTAGTACACGTCTCGTAAGTGTCGCGCCATCACTGATGAGGGAGTTGTGTGTCTGCTCTTCACGATGGCAGAGCAGCAGACACGAATACCAGTTTCTTCAGTCACAAGAAGATTAATTACTAAATGCTGCTTGGAAACACAAAGTGTTCCACTGATACCTGACAAAACACATCCAATTTTTTTTTTCAAATCTAGAGTACTGTTTTGTGTTACGCCATGTTTTTTTATTTGTTTACAGCTTTTGTAACAGTGGCAAATGGACATGCACCAATAAAATCTGTGAAAGTGAGTGCTCTTGAATTTTGTTTAATAAGTTTTACCACACACAAATGGTTATATCATTTGTCTCATATCTGTCATGAATTGAACTTCTTTCATTAGATTTTTTTGAGGTATGTTTCAGCCTTGTCCCAGCTGTTTAGCAATGAGAAAGAGATGTAAGAATGAATTGGTTCCCTGAAACCGTAGTTAACTCTTTAGGTACAATCTCATGTAATTGTTTAATGTCAGGTGTGTGAAAAAGCCACTTGCAAGTTAAATTTGAATAAAATCTGGTACACTGTGTTATCTGATTGCATAGAAACATTACAATTTTAATTTCCAAGACTAAAGACACTGTTTCTATACCTCCTGATTTGGGGCAAGCTTTTGCATAGCGACCGTCATCTCTGGAATGGACTGGTTCCTTTGTGCCATTCTTATCCATTGAGAACAGTGTATTGTTGCAAGGCGTCTCTTATGTAACTAAGCAAAAGCTTGCCCGAATCATGAGGTATAGCAACAGTGGTTTTAGCATGGAGAATTCAAGTTGTTATGTTCACTTGAATTTAAAGAATTCAGTGTACCAGGTTTTATTTAAATTTAACTCGCAAATGGCTTATTTGTATCTAAGATATTTGAATTTCCAGCACAAGTGTTGAAAGTCACAACTTCCATCATTTGTAGAGACAGCAGCTTCCGGCCTACATACCTGCACGAATGTTTGGTTGTCATTGTATCCATTACAGATTTATAGATTAGATTCTTGTGTGCAAATTCAAAGATTTCAAGGAGGACTTGTATTGTATTTGATTGTAGCTTTGTGTTGGGCTTCTGGTGATCCTCATTACAAGACCTTTGATGACACCCACTATGGCTTCATGGGAGCATGTACATACTACCTGGTCAAAGACTGCTGGAATGATGACGACAAGTTTGAGATCATTGCTGACAATGCCCAGTGCGGTCACCCTGGTGTAACCTGCACTCAGAAAGTGATCGTGAAGAATGACAATGACTATGTCAGACTTGATGGTGGCCACCGTGTTGTTGTCAATGGCAATGACATTACACAGTTCCCATTTACTCTTGATGGAATAGTGGTGGACCGCCCAACAACTTTGCTGACAGTGGTAAAAGATTTTGTAAAGACTTTCCTGTAAATATTTCAACCTTTCCCTTGTGTATGCTTTCTGATGAGTTTTTAGATTTTTGCATCTTTTCCCTACTCTCAAGATTCCTCTGTTTCATTTCAGTGCCAACTGTAGCATCGTTAGTGTGCTCTGATTGAGTATCTTGGCCCTTGTATCCATTACAATATCGATTCAGCGTATTTTGCCATTATTTCCCTAATTTTCTGTGACGTCAGGTTTCACTCGGTAATGGCATGGTGGTTCGTTGGGATGGCAGGAATCGTGTTGAGATTGTCGCTCCACCAAGTAAGTTCAACAGGACCTGTGGCTTGTGTGGAACCTTCAACAAGAACCAAGCAGATGACTTCATGACCCCAAGTGGTGAGATAATTTGACTTAACTGGGATTAAAAGAGTGATTCCAGTCAACTTATATGTCAGAATTTGATAAAAATAATGATTGCCCTATATAACGGAACATGTATTGCTTAAACCAGGGTTTGCCCATAACTTTTTTCTCACTTGCCAGCCGGACCAGCAGTGATGGCTTTTACAAGTCCGCCAGCATTTTCACTAGTCCGCATCTTCCCCCAAATGTCAACATTCTTTTTTGGCACTAGTGTTTTCTGCTCCAACATTATGCATAACAGTGTGCACTCGGTGCTGCCTGTTGTTTAATTGTTGATGAGTAATCATAAATCATGGGCCATGGGAATTCCAGCAGGAGCTTGAGGGCATGCATCACAATCAACTATTTCGTCGCTTACTTCAGAATATTGTTTTACTAGACCGCCAGACTACCCAGACGAGGGCTTTCGCTAGACCCCGCGGTTTTTACTCGAATTTGGCTAGTGGACCTGCGTCAAGGTCGAACCCTCCTGCTGAAACCCACTTTAGAAAAAAATTTGTTTAAATTTTGTGTACAGATTTGGCAGATTTTATGAGTAAAAATTTACTGCATGCCCAAACCCCAACTCTAGGTGACCGAGTTGCCTCGGCTGTGGCTTTTGGAAATAGTTGGAAGGCCGGCTATGAAGGAGAAGCTTGCCCAGATGTTCCTGGAGAACCCCCAGATGTATGTGAGCTGTACTCGCAGAAGAAAGATATTGCCTTTGAGCACTGTAACAAGTTACTCACTGAGCATGTATTCAAGCGTAAGTAGTTTCCCTGTGAATACTTGACTTCTTTATAATATGCACATACCCTCATCCTACCCTCTCAACAGTTAGAAACTCAGCAAGAGGAGTGCCATATACTTCTGGATTCAAGCCCTTACCTTCGTCATTCAAACACTCAAGAATGTCTATCACATGTAAATAGAGATATATATTGACAATTGATATAACAGTGAACTTTGCCAACATCTAGATCTGGGGGTGAAGTAACAGCTTTTGTTTCCTGGCCTATGGACAGACAAACAAACTAGAGACTCACATGAAAAGATAAAGCACATAAAAAGGTGTAAAACATCAATCCAGGCCTTATTTACCCCTATTACCATGTTTCCATAGTTACATGCTTTATGTTTCTCCTTGTAATATTTTGGCATTGCAGCTTGCCACCGAGTCTTAGACCCAGGACCATACTTGGAGGACTGCAGATATGACGTCTGTAATGGCAATGATGGTGATGACCATTGTCCTTTGTTTGCTCAGTATGCCTCTGATTGCCGACAGAAGGGTGTCATATTAGACAACTGGAGAAAGGCTATACCGGAATGTGGTATGTGTTCCAACAATCTTCCACGAGATTGACTACAACTCAACCTTCCAAAAACCTTCAAAATCCATTTGAATACTGTCATTAGGATTTTGAAGGATTGTGGAAATTAGAGCCCAGTCATAAATATGTCAGCTTGACGTCCCTTGAAAGTTTAAATACAAAGAATGTGCTATTGATGTCCTGCAGTACAAAGAGTTTAGAGGAATCAGGAAGGTTTGAATTTCTAGTAGGAATACCTTGGAAGTTAGGGTACTAGTAGACTTTGTCGGCAGACATCTAAAGAGTATTCCCTATTGATTCCGTTTGGATCTTAAATGGTTCAGTTACTAATTTAGAAGTTTCCATTCTCAGGTTCCATAATAAGCTTGTAAAATGTATTCAAATGAACATTTGGACCTACTTTTTGAACCAAAATTGGACTTTTCATCCCCTTACTGGTGGTCTTCCTGCAGATGTCCCGTGTGAAGTTCCAGGCATGTCCTATTCAGAGTGTGGGCCCTCTTGTAAAACGTCTTGTGAGTCACTTCGTATCTTTGCTGACAACGATGACTGTGTGGATGTTTGTGTCGAAGGATGCCATTGTGATAATGGCACGGTGCTTGATCACCGTGGCAACTGTATCCCTGGCCACCAGTGTCCATGCTATGATGAGTTTAAGTGGTATGATAGTGGTGAAACTATTGAGAGGGACTGTGCAACATGGTAAGTACTTGTATAGAAAGATACAGTGCTTGAAAAGTCGGAGAAAATTTAGTTGAAATATGATTTAGTGTACCTGTGTAGAATTATCCTGCAACAGTGTAAAATGACATTTCACTTTAATGAGAAACATCAAAGAATTAGTGAGTTGAGTAAATTTTAGAATAAGACTTAACCAGAATAATGTTTAGTATGCTTCCTGCTTATTCATATTTTGTTGTTGATTGGGCATGGTTTCTACATTCCTTTATTTTTTGTCTTTTAGCATTTGTCAAGAAGGTAAGTGGCAATGTGACGATACCACTTGCCCAAGCATAACCTGTCCAGACAACCAATTCTACAGTGAGTGCACTGTTCCACCAGAATGCCGACGTACTTGTGCCAACTACCACAATCCACCTGTGTGTGAAGGGCCATGCTTACCAGGATGTGAGTGCTCGCCTGATTACACGCTTCATAACGGAGAATGTATACCTGTCTCTGAATGCCAGTGTACATACAAAGGAGATGTGTATGAGCCCGGCCAAGTCAAGCGTGTTGGATGCCATGTTTGGTAGGTGTTCAGAGTGTCTAGTCACGTCTATCATAGATAGAAACTGAGATTCAAGTTGACTTTAGCTACTTTTTCTCATTTTGTCAAAAATGTTGTTCATTGGCATTATTCTTTTGCATTAATACAAACATTATTTTCTGTTTTCAGTACTTGCAAGAATGCCAAAGTGACATGTAGGAATGAATATTGTGAAGGTAAGGTTAGCTCAAAAATAATTGGAAATGAGGAGTTACCCCTCTGCCTGATGTTTACATACTTGCCAACAGGTACATGTACCTGCTGATTTAATTGGAACTGTTCCGACTGCAAAAAATAGAAACATCCTGATATCCATAAAAAGACCAAAAAAAAACCTTAAAAATCCCATCAAGGGCATTATTTACAGAAAGAAGAGCTAGGTACTGTTTGCTTTGGCAGAATGGCAGTTGTTACACATGCATACAGTGTTTACATGAATATAGCTTCTCTTGTAGGGGGGTTTTGTTTGCTTTGAGCTCGTAAAATGGGTATATTCCTATTTCTGACTTGGCAATGTTGGCAGGTATTTACATGTATAAAGTAGGGTCATAACACAACTTTATATTCTTGTGGCCATTGTAGGGACATGTATTGCATGGGGTGATCCACACTACCAGACGTTTGATGCTAAGAGATATGACTTCCAAGGGGAATGTGACTATGTCCTGGTCACCAATAGCCACTTCCCAGATGTCAAGCAATTCCACATCATTGTTGGTAATGTGCCCTGTGGATCAGGAGGAGTCACCTGCACCAAGGCCATCACCATGGCAATAGGTAGAGATTTTTTTGACTTTCCATGTAGGATCGTTCATACTTTTTGATCACCGGTTTGTGGCCATGAGAAAAAGTTGAAATGTGATGAGACAGACAACATTTGTGCTGAGTGTGGTGCTCAAGGTATGACTTGCTGGCTAACTGGGAAAATTGTGACTCAACCCGGCCTGATGAGTCACATGTTACTTAAGTTTGAGTTGAAAACGTTTTACAAATCTTGCACAATAGAAATCAACACAATATAATTTATATCATTTATAATAAAACATCATTGTTTGCCGTTATCTTAATTCACTGCAGTGTGGTCTGTTATCTAGTAAAAAGTAGAGCTGAATTATGCTCTTTCTTATATGCCTATGAAAAAAAATACTTCCGACAACTTCACAGGATCTGTCTCATTTATTATGATCTTGGAAGGACATGACTTAATCTTTCTCCACTATGTAACAGGAAGTGGTGCTGAGCAGGAGAAAGTCATGCTTGTCCGTGGGAAACCAATCGAAGTGGATACCGGTGTCGGTGATCTGAGTGAATTCATTATTACCGAAGCAGGCCTTTATATCTTTGTCCACACCACCATTGGTGTCACATTGATGTGGGATCGAGCTACCAGATTAGAAGTCAAAGTAACACCGGAACATTTTAACAGAGTAAGTTTCATTTATGACACACTGAACTTTTGGGGCCACCATGATATAAAGATACGTGCATCTTGGTATTGCTTATTTGTGTTTTCAAGAGAATGTTTTCTTTCTGTAAAGCACGTGCTTTGCCCTGGACAGTTTCTCTTATGTGCAGACATTGAAGTTTTGGGTGCGATGCAGCACAGGAAGAATTAAATTGGAAAGGTTATAAAAGCTTGTCTTTGTTTCTCTGAAAAAAATCACAAATTCACAAAAATAATGTTCAGTAAGACAGAAGTTTACCTTGGTTTCCTTGTTTGGCAGGACTAACCATGGAAAAGTAAAAAGGAACTGATGAAGTGATCTGTGCTTATAGTGAATATAATTGCAAGCTGACTTGTAAAATTAAAAGGAACACAAAGCTTTAATTGTTCTGTTTCTGCAGGTTGCTGGTCTTTGTGGAAACTACAATGATGTCCAAGAGGATGACTTCCTGCCTCCTGGGGGCGGTATTCCTCTCATTGATCCCATAGAATTTGGAAACAGCTGGAAGGTACATATAACAACTATTCTCACCCTGAAATACAGAAATAGCAAAAATTAAAATTTAAGCTTTTCTTTACAGAGAAACAGACTTTCATTGGCTTTCGAACATCTAGTAAAGAAAAGGATAAAAAGTTATTTACAATTAGTTTTTTGTGGATAATAGAGCTTCACGGATATTCTCCACCATAGAATATTCCACATTGAAAAATTTGAATTTAGCCTTTGAAAACCCACCAAGAATGCAATAGATAAATACTATTTACTCCTTGAGATTGGTAATAACTATTATATTTCCTTCCTAATAGTTGCATGATTATTGTGGCAAGCCACCTCCAATTACTGACCCCTGCGTGACAAACCCCCACCGCAAGACCTGGGCTCAGAAGACATGTGGCATCATCAACTCAGCCGTCTTTGAGCCGTGTCACGAGTTCGTACCCCCAGCTGAATACTTCCATAACTGTGTCTTTGATTCTTGTGCCTGTGACTCTGGTGGAGATTGTGAATGCATGTGTACAGCGATCGCAACTTATGCACAGATGTGTAACCAGCAAGGAATACCAATCAAATGGCGGACTCAGGACCTCTGTCGTAAGTCCCGTCTGATCAAAGTTAATTTTCACTCAACTCACGCCAAAGTTGCTCTCTTACCACTTACATGTATATTATCAGGGCTCATATTAAAAAAAGTTTGCCCAAATACAAATTCAACAGCCATTAAAGTATTAACTATTTAATTGTTTTCACCAGTTTGCCACTGTTTAAGCTTAAGGGATATCGGTAAAGTTTAACACATTTAACTCCTTTGGAGGAAGCTGGCTGAATACCCCCAGTTCTGCCACGTATGAGTTCTTTGTACTTGAACTTTGACATCAGCTGCCAAATTCACAAAACTTTATGCAATGGTGTAGCTCCACTTACGCCACATTTTATTGCATAAGTTGCACAACAAAGTAAGATCGATTTCACGAAACTTATGTGCGGGTAAGTCTGCGACTTAGGCAACAAATGATGGCATAACTTACACGTCATTTTAGGTGGCGTAAGTGGCACCAAACGAAGCAAAAATGAATGATCTGACTTGCAGGTCCGGTTAAGCCTCATCATGACTGAAATTATTAAGGATTATACGGAAACGAACAACGTTGTTCAAGAAGTTAATAATAAACTTGTTCGGCTGTGAAAAAAATGCAAAACTGTTTGTCCGGTCCCGACGAAGAAAAGACGAAAACTTTTGCAAAATGGCGGGCGGATGTGATTCAATGACTGTTTTGTGACTGCTGTTTTATTGGAAACAACAGCCATCATAAAAGCCGTTTTTGTCCTCGTCCAAGATATTTAATATTATTAAAATGTGGCGCATCTACACAACTTTTGTGAAATCGAGCATTACTATATTGTGCAGCTACGGCATACATTTGTGGCACAAGGCTTGTGCGTGGCTCAAAGTTATACCACGTTTCGTGAAATCAGCTGCAGTTCCTATTCAAAGTGATAACAGCTGGAGGTTTTGACTGTAGCCAAATACTGTGAAAAAGCCTTTGATTTGGCAGATTCGGAGTAGGATAAGTTAATGTACCACAAGTCCTATTTACACCCTGATAAATTTCTTGGGTATGTTTTTTCTCCACCAGCTATCCAGTGTGAAGGATGCCTGACCTATGAGCCTTGTATTCCAGTCTGTGAATCTTCATGTGAGAACCAACAATTCATTCTCCCTGATGATCTTTGCATGGATACTTGTGTGGAAGGCTGTGCTTGCCCACCAGGTACCATCTTTCACAATGATGAGTGTGTAGAGGAATGCCCGCCACCACCTACCGAGGTAACCATTTGGATTTAGTTGTTTCAAGTTCTTACCTGAAGTAATTTCACTGGTTTAGGGATCTTTTGGCTGTAGTTCTACATGTAGGATGACTTGAATTTTGTCGATCCTCCAACCACACCAGCAACCTCCAACCACCAAAGCATCAACTACAGTTGCATCAACCACCACTGTTGCATCAACAACTACGGAAGCATCAACAACTACGGAAGCATCAACAACTACAGAGTCGACAACTAAAGCATCGACAACTGTTGAAGTACCATCAACTACCATTGCATCAACAACTACCAAAGCATCAACAACTATGGAAGCATCAACAACTGCAGAGTCGACAACTAAATCGTCGACAACTGTTGAAGTACCATCAACTACCATTGCATCAACAACTACTGAAGCATCAACAACCACTGTTGCATCAACAACCACTGTTGCATCAACAACCACCAAAGAATCAACAACACCTCCACCACCACAGCCAACTACTTCACCAGGAATATGTGAGAGACTTACTTTTACTAAAATGGATCTTCAATCCATCTTCACAATGTCTGAGTATACTGTTTTCAACATCAAGATCTTGTTCATTATTAATTAAGGTGCTGCGGGTTTTAGGCTGAAACAAGAACTGGGATTTACATGTATGTACGTTGACATTGTAAATCACTGAATTTCTCCTACATGATGGCATATTTTCAAGTGCACAAACATTTCTCAAGCCTTCCATTCTCAAGCCATTCTTTCAGCCCGTCATAAAGCAAAGCATGACATACGTAATTGCATTTGATGCATTCCTGTCTTAGGTGAGTGTTGGGGTTATGGTGACCCTCATTACTTTGACTTCAATGGTATTGAGTTTGACGACCAAGGCCTCTGCACTTACATCTTGGCCAAAGACATTCAGGATCCACCAAGATTTGTCGTCCTCATACACAACATCGAGTGTGGTCTGTTCCCTGGAACCACCTGTCCTAGGGAAATCGAGATCTTGTATGATGGACACCGAATCAGAATGTTGGCAGAGAGGAATGATCAAGGGGTAGGTTATCCTCAAGTTAATCACAAGTACTCAGAAATCAATCACCAGTTGATTACTAGGTAATCACAAGTAATCAGAAATCAATCACCAGTTAATTACTAGGTAATCACAAGTAATCAGAAATCAATCACCTGTTGATTACTAGGTAAAATCATTAGTAATCAGAAATCAATCACCAGTTGATTACTAGGTAATCACAAGTAACCAGAAATCAATCACCAGTTAATTACTATGTAATCACTAGCCATTCACTCTCAAATGAATTTACTGATTCTCCAGACACTCTGCATTTTGTAGTACTTTGGCATTGTTAATCCCCTACTACTGTCCAGACTTACCTCCAACTTGCTCAAGTATTGTTGATATATCACAAATGTTGGGCTTGAAAACCCTTCCCCTTCATTATGTTGACTGTTCTTATACTAATAATATGAAGCCAGACAAAGAGAGGGTTGGGGATGTCTACATTTATCTTAAACTAAGGACAGGAAAATGCCTTGTCAAATTTCAGATCTTACAGAGAGCATACTATTGTCCCCAACTGCCACTTAGTCAAGCCTCAATTCACTGAAATCTCCCCCCCCCCATCAACTGCGGCCTTTGCTAGATCTATCTAAATATATTTCCAGCATCTTGACCATAACCAGTCACAAACAGGTTTCCTTCATTAAAGAATTAACAACTTGATCTCATTCAGGAGTACCAGGTCATCATTGATGGCACCACCTACGTCCCACCTGTTGAGTCATATGATTCCTTCACAATCATCGAATCTGGACTGTACATGCTTTTTGACGCCCCCAGTATCAGCTTGCAAGTCCGCTACTTACCTGTTGACCTTCATTACTTCAAGGTGGAGATCCCACAGCTCATTTACTATAACAGCACAGAGGGTCTTTGTGGTGAGTAAAATCCAAACTTCTTCATGATATTCAACCTTGGAGAAAGTCATGTCGATTTCTTCTTCATGGTTTCCTGAGAACAATTCCAGGTTCAACCACTTACAACGTCTAAAGCAGGAACAAACAAATCTCCTTTTTAAGGTCTGCGATCAGTGATTTAGTCAGTTTGGTATTTCAATAAGGCAAAGTAAGTTGGGATTAAGCACCTGAGGTCGGCCCAGTGGGAATATGTTCAGTGTGTGAATTAGCAAGCAGATGTATTGATGGAGTTTAACTTGTACACGTAACATGTACTTGCCATCCCAACTAACATATGGCAACCTTCATTTTGTACTTTGGAATAACTGGACTACCATTGTAACTTTGCAGTTTTTAGAGATATGTGATAATGACTGAAATTCTTCTTTTTTCATCTTCATTTAAGGAAACTGCGGCAATCCTCTACCCACTTGTGAGGAGACAGGCACTTGCTGTGATTGGCTAGCTCCACCATCAGTACCCTCTGAATGTGGCTGCGATGTTGAACCCACAGAATGTATTCCAGGCCCTGATATTATTGACTGGTATGTAGCAAATAGATCAAAATACCTCAGCCTACTACTTCTAACTCTAAGCTGGTACATGGCGAATCCCTACGTTGGGATATCACGCCAGGGATGCAGACCTGGCAGTAATGTGCTTGAAGAAATCATACTCTTACTGCTGCCCAATTTTCTTATCCAGTCCTTGGAAAAATTTCAGTTACAGACTAAAACATATTTGTTTCATAAAACAATGCAGTTTAACCACTTCGTGCCGGGGCATTTTTCAACGTTGAGGATGCTGGGCCGGTTTTCAAAATCCTTCAACAATTCATCATTCCA